AACCTTTACGGTCATATCTTCTCTGTTAGAAATTATACCGTGATTTGACGAAATATATCCTGTTAATTTTTCTATACAAACAGTTCGTTATTTAAAATTAAGTAACGACTACAATCGTGAAATGACGAACTCTTTGCAACTCGAATGTTGTACTGCAATTGCAATTGCAGATCGTTCTGAAGAACGATCCCGGACCCAAGAATTGTTGAAACAAATATTCTAATTCCTGATCATTGGAAATCGAGTTCGTAACCGAAATTTACGAACAATACTCGTTAGTTTCATTAACGAAGTATTCGTGACGGATTATTATCTTGAAATAACGAAATTCATCGACAGTGTTTCCCCTTCTCACACTCCCCTTTATCCTATCCCATCCTCACTCTCTCTCCTCCTACCTGGGGCGCAATGCAGCAGGCGTCGACTTGTGTGCTCAGCAAGAAGAGCGTTAAACACGCTGGCCCGCCATCCATCCGTGGGGTTTATTTATTTTGCGAGGCCGTTCGCTCGCGCGCATGCAGTCCGTACCGCTGCTGCTGCTGCTACTGATAGGTTTTGCCAGCATTATGGGGAATGCGATGACGGTTTTTGTGGCGGCCGTTTCCGCTGCGATGGATCGAATAGAGCAGCAGCAGTTTGCAGCAGCGGCCGCGCGCGTTCGGTAGCAGTCGTGTAATTAACTGCATCGTCGTTATTAGTCATCGTAAAGCCCACGACCGTCCACCTCAGCTCACCCCTTTCCCCCTTTTTATTCTCATTTTTTTAGCAAAAAAAAAAAAAGATAAAGTAAATAAAATTGAGTACGTATGAGTATACAGTGCAATGATTGAGCTTGACATATAAAGATAGCACTTTTGTGACACTGCTTACAACGGTGATTTGTGTTTTTCTCGTGTAGATTTTAAGATTTTAGCTAGCATTAGGCAGGTAAACCCCAAAGCGCACGGGGATAAGTTTATGGGAAAAGGTTCGATGCCTTTTACACGCGCGTTACGCCCGGCGTTACACGGACGTTAGACGTGCTCGGTGGCGTTTCGACTGTTACTGTTATGACAGTCTGGGGGGCAGCAGCAGCGGCAACAAGGGGAAATAAACGCCCAAAGCCCGCGTGCGAATATTCATAAGCCTCGCAGAGGGGTGCTTGCGGCTGCGCTCGCGGCCCATGCCTGGTCGTGGCCTTCTCCGTGTGCTGCGGGATGACGATGCAGACGGATGCCACTGTGCGGCCGTAAAAGTTATCTCAACGACTTTATAATTAGTCCTAAGGCCTCTGCCGACCGGACCCGAGGGGAAAGGAAGGGGGCGCTGCATCGGGACGGGACGCCTGGCTGGCCTAGCGATTCGAGCGGCCGGAGTCCTCGTAAAACGTAAAAATGGCGATAGGGGGAGAAAACGGCGCATAGGCTGGTGGGTCGGGGTGGTGCGAATGCACTGGCCGCCGGTGCGGTGGGAATGTGTGCGCTTCGGGCCGGCGCAGCGGGAACCTTGAACCCGGCGCGTCTAAACGGCGCGGCCATCACTCTGCAAACTCAAGTGTCTGACGACTGTAAAGGGAAACAAGTCGGAATATATCTGCGAGGAAGAGTAACAGAACGTTAGGAGAAGAGTTCACACTTTCCCTGACGAAAATAGTGCCGCTAACAAGAGGTTATCCGAACGTTTTCCGCCAGTTATTTGTACGTTTTTACATCAGAAACACGTTGGAAACTAGTTAGCACACATAGAAACTGTTTGGGCGCATTACTCAGCATGTTCTTAAACCGAGTAGAAACTGCAATTTGCAGAACGCATCGTAACAAGTCGAAAACCTGTTCCAATGCGTTACCAGCTAGTTATTGAAACGTTGTCGAAACCAACAACAGTCGCGGTCACTAAACGTATACGCAACCGTTGAGGCACTAACAGTTAATCGGTACTATCCAGTTACCCAAAACGCAGAAAAAAACTAACAGCCGTGCCCGTTTTCAAACAGTTTCGGCGAACACGGTGATAACTGTCACCAGAGTGAGTTTCCAAACGGTTTCCACAGCGTTACGCATAACCGATTACGGGTGGTTTCTGAAACACGGTTATAACTCCCACCAGAGTGAGTTTCCAAACGGTTTCCACAGCGTTACAGTAAACCAATACGTACTTGCTCGTTGTTTCTGATAAACGGTCTGCAAACTCGAAGACGAGTAGGTACAGTGTGTTTTTGTGTGGTTTGCGTTAACATTGTGATAACCTCACACGGAACTCGTTTCTAAACGATTTCTTGAACGTGATGAGAAACTTCCCCAGCCAAAACTGAATTTATTTTTTACGTCGATTCGACCCCGACACCTTGATTTGAGTACAAAAATTACGTTTTTCGAGCATCGTCGACGTCGATTCAGAAACTGCGTAAAATCCTACAGTGCTAACACAAGTGTTCAACTGTTTACTTCTTGAAAGTGTGCCCCTCCCTGTAACACACTTGTAAGTGTTCAACTCAGCAGTTGTACAGTTGAAAGCGTCCAACTCAGCAGTTATACACTTTTAAGTGTTCAACAAGGGACGTGTTAGACGGGGCTGTTCAACACTTACTGGTGTAACTGATGAGTTGCACACATACAAGTGTATAACTAGCGAGTTGAGCACTTGGCTCTGCAAAGTGTTGAACAGTTGAACAGTTTTGTTTATAGTGTATACAATCTATGGATGTCCTGTGACCTTATGAAATCCATCAAATTTCTAAAAGTGCCCCCACCCCTCAAATGTGAGGACCTTAGAAATCTATAAAAACTCATGAAATCTTTGTGAAATTTTGAAATTGTCAAATCAGTTGTTGAACGAGTCTTGCAGGCATGGCTCCCTTTCCACTCACGGTGCGAGTTTTTCAAAGGTTTCCGCAGCACGCTGGAAACCGATTGCAGCGTGTTTCTATGGCGTTTTTGGAAACACGATAATAACATCTCCCCCCTCTCACGCACCCACCCTCCCCGGAGGAAGAGAAACGGAGGAAGGGGAGGGGGGGGGGGCAAGCGGCACGGAGTGCCCGGCGGGCGGTGTCGGGCCGGCGAGACAAAGGCTGGAATGTGTTTCGTCGTCCGAGCTCGCCCCCGCATCGGGCTCAATGGCTCAGTTGGTTGCGAACGAGGCGAGGACGCTGAGTTGGCAGCGCCGGGTTCTGTTCCCGGCGCTGGCAGCGGTAGGCGTGTATCCTTCTATGTAGCAGCCGACCAAGCCATGATGACAGCCTAAAAGGGCGTGACCAACTCGGATGACCGTAGGAATCCGAATTAGCAAAGGGGCGACTGCCTCGATGCGAACACCGGAGCGAACATGCGCAAATCAAATAATTATTTTCATTTTTTTAACATCGGCAGTTTGCTATTGTTTGCAGATATATTCTCCCAAGATCCACATCCCGGTCTCCGAAAGCTGCCCCTCCAAGCATGTAGGGGCCCTTACTTTAAAACCACCTAAAAACTCACTAGAAACTTACGAGAAACTCAGTGCTTTGCATGCGAGAAACGAGGAAAACAGTCTAAAAACACGTGGGGTGGCAGAGGAAAAAGGGGAGAAATCAAAAAATCCTGTGGCGTAAAAAAAATTTTTTTCCGCACTTTTTAGAAGTTTCAAAAAACCGGATGAAAACGCACAGGACATTGGGTGCACCTCAACTGCAAAACTCTCCAGAAACGTGCGAGAAACTGCGTGTGGCGCTCTTCGGAAACGGAATAGAAACGTCGAGAAACCTACAAGAAACAGACTACAGCACGTTATGATAAGAGGCTAGAAACACAGCTCAAACTCGATGCAACCTGTTTCCAAAATGTTTGTCGATGTCCAGTTTTCACGTTTATATAACTGTCAACTGGCCGTTCCTTAAACGTACCTAAAACTACCTCACAACGTTTAACTATATGTTTTTGTAACTGCTTGAAAACAGGCGATTTTCGTCAGGGTTCCTAAATACGAATATATGATGCACGTTAAATATTGCTCGAGTTAAAAATGGCAGTTACAAAATGTTTCAAAGCATATGCTACATGGTACGGTAATTTTTGTTTGGCAGCTGTAAGAGAATTTCGTCTGGATTGAGTTCTGCTTTTAGTGTTTTCATATATAGAGAAAATTTTAACGTGTGGTCAATAATGATATCGTTACAGAATACTATGTCTCGGCATGCATGCCTGCATATGCGTGCATATCCAAACCACGATGGTGATGTAGATTTTCGCCTGGTTTTGTGTGTACACGTGCGTGTGTGCGTGTATGTGTAAGGCAATGATGGCACCTTCTCGTTATCGCCGTGCTGGACGTAATTACAACCGCCATATCCCGTGTATCTGCAGATGGAAATGGGGCGCCAGTGGGCCCCTGCGGCCCCCTCCTTACCTCCCCACGCCGCCCCCGCGGGGTCCACTTCATTGTGGCCTTCCCGAAGGGTCGTTGCAACTTTGTTTTCCGCGCTGCAAGGAACTTTTACGACAAATGCGTCATTACGTATTCATTGCTTCTCATTATGATATTGCTCCCTGTAGTGTGTGGCGGGCCCCGCGTGATGTGATAGGGATTGGCGGCGGGGGGATATACGAGTGCGCCCCGTCTTCCGTTGGTCGTTGGTGGAAAGGGTTGTTTTCGACTCGGGAATATTATACTTGCGGTATCTGAACAACACCTTGGTTATTTGCTTGCCCCTAGCACTGTAAAAAATAGTTTGTTGCATTTCAAGACCTTGTCTTGGATGGCGTTGGCGTTCTTCATATGATCCAAGACCGCGCGGGTCTTCAAATGCAAGAAACTATTTTTACCGTGAGCAGCATCTTTGCCTCTCCCAACACGTTGTTTTTGTACCTTTGTCGAAAAATTTTCCCTGCTATTATCGCTTAAAATCTCTTTACAGCCTGACCATCATTTGCTACCATATTTCACTAATCGCCAATATAAAAGCTGGAAAGGCACTCTGCTCTGGTGGCTTCAATGATAAGATGATGATAGGCTAACGTCTGTTTCTTGTTTTGTGCTGATTTCAGCAGAGTACGGCTCCGACGTCCAAAGCGTGGATCACGGGAGAGGGAGCGTGGAAGAGCCGTCATCGCCGAGACCTAGTGAGTACAGAGTCGTCGACCCCATGGTTGCTGCTCGGACTTGCATTAGCTATCAAAAGGACCCTAAAACGAGGGGCCTCCTTATTGCCCAACTGCTGCTTGCAAATATCTGCATTTCTGTGTTCATCGACTCGTCGATTTGCGGTACAGCCAAGAAATGTAATCAGTTACGTGCTGTCCGTTTGCTTTTACGAGAGCAACGGGCTGTACCTTTAGAGTGTATCAAATCGCATCGAAGCAGGTGACCGGATTGATTTTGTCGCGTTTCTGTAGAGCTGATATGACGAAATTGTTTCAAATTGACTTATCCTTATCTGAAAGTGACAGAAGTAAACGGTTCGAAACTGCACCTCGTCTGTGACTGGTCATTTATCTATATCTGACAAAGGAATCAATTGCGTGAGGACAAGGGACGAGGGAGGTATTATTGATGCTTTATCGCGCTCCCACAGAAAAGTGATTCCACAGTTAATCACTCTGGGCTCATCCGAAATACCCCATTAGTGTTGAAAGCAATTTTCATAAAAGTATCGTTTTATTGAGGGAAAACAAAAAATATCCTCGCAAGATCATCCTTAAAAAGAACTGTGGTAGTAATTTTCAAACCGTGCAAATGTGACCTAAGAGCTGTATGTACCCTTCCCTACGCATGCCTTGTGCGTTGCGTGCGGCTGCCGAAGTACTTCCTGTCCGTTCGGCGGTGCATATAGGGCAGCATATTGCGCCGGTTCGTTTCTCTGCTTTCTTTGTGGCGTTAAAGTCGTATCCGCCTGGGAGTGCCATCAAAGCGTCCTGCATAAACAATATGGTGGTGTGCGCGCCGCTGGACATGTCACGATCCTTTATCAAGCGTTACGAGGACAGTTGTCCCGCGAGCCGACCGAGCAAATATCATTTCGTGAGGGGTGCACAGCGTTCGATTGGTTTCTAGGATTTTGTTTCCAATTTGTCCCCGAAAAAAGTCAAATTACTTCATACTTAAACGGAAATGTTGGTCGAGTGGTTCTTACGTCTTTGACTTTTAAAAAGTAGTTGAAGACTGACACTTTGCGAGCTTTCGCGGTGAGCTCAGCAATGGCAATTGCCAACACGCTGTACTGTGCGTCGCATTAACACAAAACTTACGACATTGTGGCTCCGGCAAGCTACCTGAAGTGATTGTGGCTATCCATTTAATTGACGGCAGTAAAAGCATCTGCAGGCGGCACCACGGCGGTGGCGATACACGTTGCATATCTCTCTAATTTTTCTCTTTTTATGATTATTCGTTTCTTCTTATAAATTATTGTTTTCAATTACTTATCGCAACTACGAATTGTACTCTGATGCTGGTTAATTCGCGAGCCCTCCTCCTTAGGGTCGTTTCAGGCGTTTCATTTTCATTCTAACCACAAC